GTTACGTGAATCATTCTCCGAGAACTACTAAGGAGTGTGTATAATAATAATAATAATAATAATAATGGATAATAATTATTTTTTATCGGTCGATATTTTGTTATATTTGTTTGTTTAAAATACGAATTTTTAAAAAAATTGACTTTTTTAAAATTTTAATTAACCGTCATTTTCTATTTTTGATTGAATTCAAATAAAAGCTACCACTGTGTTTGTCTTTCTTTACTGAAATCTCGAAGTTGTTTGTAGATATGTACGGTTAAGTGTTTGAGTTTGAACAAGCCTTGAAAATATTTTTTTTAATTTTTTTAATTTTTCGTTTATTTGGTTCATTCAATTTGGTTCATTGATTGGTCGATTGGTTGGATGATTAGTTTATTGAATGAATGGTTGGTCGTTTGATTGGTTGATTGGTTGATTGATTGATTGATTGGTTAGATGTTTGATTGATTGATTGATTGATTGATTGATTGGTTGATTGATTGATTGTGCATATATGGATGATTTTATTAATTTAGTTAATGTTGTTTTGGCTTTCCATATTTTACTTTTAAGCAGGTAGTTTATGCGGTTGACTTCAATTAGTTAGCTATAAATGATAAACGTAAAGATTACCCCGTCTTTTCTCCGTATTTTGTGTCGCTAGAAGAGTTGTTGGGTGACTGTTGATCTATCTTCTGCGAATAAATATTTTTAATCATGGACATTTCTGAAGTTGAAGTATTTGTTAAGAAAATTCAAGGTTGAATAACTGGTTTTTTTTATTTTTTAAAAATTTTGTTTTTCAAGTTAATAAATTTATTAAAAAAAATTTATTCAATATAATTTTTTTATTAACAAATACATAATCAAATAATATAATTATATTATTAGAAATTGACTGAATTTCGCTTTCATGTTAATTCTATTCTATAATAGTTTTGTCAGGTGATAAATCTTATCACAACTGATTCTATTTCTTCACTCTTTCTCGTTCTTCACTCTAATCTAGTCTACAGAGATACTGCTACATACTGTTTTGTATTGTTTGTTTATCTTTATATCATTTTTATTGCACTCTTAGTCTGTCCTTATGTCTGTGCATATGTGTATGACGTCATATGTACATGTGTGTATGGCAATATATGTGCATGTGTGTATGATATATGACATGTGCATGCTGCAATAGTGAGTGATTAGTTTAGGTAATAAGAAGTAACAGTAAATTAACACTAAGTTGATTTTGTTTTCAAATTTGAAAGAATCAAAAAGTGAAAGCTACAATAGAGAAATGTTAGGATCTCCGAAAAAATTATTAAAACTTGATCCCAGCCAATCCTCAAATGGCGTTGTCAGTGACCACAAGTTTCAAGAACTAGCTGGCAACATCTTCCATCACTGCAATGAATCGTTGAGTCTTGAGTTAGGTGACGCTTATGATGTCCCCCAATACCCGATTCACGAGATTCAACAGAAGAAGGAGCTGATCAGGCAGATGTCCAAGTATATATATGTTCTATCATTCTTTTTTTCTTTTCACTGTAGTAATAATATTGCTATTTTTATTAATATATATTGCTTCTTATTTTAACCATATATTAATTTTTAACATTGCTTCTTGAGCTTATTGTTGTATTTTTGTAATATTACTGCTGTAGGTCAGAGTATTATAACTGATAAAAATAATTTTTTTTCAATTATTATGTCACATATTTAAGGCGTTTAAATATTATTTTAATTTAATGAATTTAATCTCCTGACAGTCGAATGTCCAGGTAGACTGCTTGTCTGTTGTCTGTGTTTATGTGTGTGCCTGCATGTGTACTTGTGTGTGTTTGTGTGTGTGCATTTGTAATAATAATGTTTAACAAAATTCACAATTTAATATCACTGCATATTCTTTTGTTGAGTGTGTTTTAATTTTTGGTTACCACTAACATGATCTGTTGTCTGTTTTGAGGTTGTTCTGCAGTTTAAATATGACTAGAGATGATGACGACGATGATGATGGTGACAACGTCTTTGATGGGGAGAATAATTTTTGTAGTAACTGGTTGATTGTAACTTGATTATAAAATTTACTGGATACACTCTTCTTTTCTGAATTTAGATGTTTTGCTGTGCTTTTTGGTTTGTTATCTGATATCTATTTGCACTGTGGATTAAGTTTACGACTCATAATGCTTTTCTTTTCTTTTTTTTATCTTATTTATAATTTTTTCAGCTGTTGATGAATTGTGAAACTGTTCAATTTTTTATTAATTTAAAAATTATTTATCAACCATTCAATCAAATAAATTTTTGTTGGAATAAGAACTGTACATGAATTAGGGGACCCATCCTGCCAATATGAGATACCGTTGTAATAAATAGTTTTGCACTGAGATTGTTCATGTCAGCCACAAAGGAACTGAGTTAAATTTAAATTTTTAATTGTGATATACTGTAATAGAATTATTGTGAGGTATGGGTCATTTCAACCAACCAATCCAACTAACCAATCCGCATGTCAACCAGCCAGCCAGCCAATCAAGCAACATTTAACAAAGCATCACATCTGTCTAATTGCTCCAATTCTTTGTTCTACCTGACTTCAATTTTAATTAGTCTTGTTTGTTGCACTCATTCATTCATTTATTCATTCGTTCTTTGTTCATTTGTTTATTCATTCATCAGTACATTTAGCCATCCATTCTATCTCTCTTCTCTCTCTCTCTTCTCTCTCTCTCTCTCTCTCTCTCTCTCTCTCTCTCTCTCTGTCTCTCTGTCTGTCTGTCTGTCTATTTTTTTATCTATCTATCTTTCTTTCTTTCACAATATAGTTACCATGCACATAACATACAAACAAATGAATGGCCCACCAAGTTCCCAACACAAACCCACACTCACATGCACAAATACATTCATACATACACACCATGACTTAAATTCATGCCACTGATCTTATCAAATGTTAGTCCACACCACATGTGTGATGATGTTAATGATTATTTTTTTTTTATCTATCCTAGCATGTGCACCCGCCTGCCTGCCTGCCTGCCTGCCTGCCTCTTCATCTTGTTCATTTCTGTTCCAATGCATGTATGTAAATGTATGATTGTGTATGGTATGTGTGTGCATATATATACTTGTGTTTGTGTGTATATATGTATGCATGTTGCAGAATGAAACACTCTAGCATCTTGTAATTTGAAGACACCTGGTGATTAGTACAGGTGTAGCCATAAATATATACATGTGTGTGTCTATGTTTTGTATATATTACATAATATATTGCGTAATGTCTATGTACAGGTAGATAAGGATAAATATGCCTGTGTGTGCGTGTGCGTGCGTGCGTGTGTGTGTGTGTGTGTGTGTGTGTAGATGTATAAAAGTGATTTTACTGATGGACTTGGTTGTCAAACTGGTAGAGTTTGAAGATAGATAGATGCCCGTGTATGTCCATTTCATTTCTGTGCTGTCAATCCTATTCCATCACATCACATTGTTTAAGCTGCTGATTTAGTTTCTGTTTTTCATTAACCATCGGTTATGTTAATCGTTAGTTGTATCTGAAACAGCGGAGACACACAACAACACAACAACACAAACAAACAATTGTGCATGCATATTCAATATACACACCAATTTAAAGGATTTTTGAAAACTTAACAATTGAAATCATTTGATCTAATAATGTTAATCATTGTTATTAATTACACTAGCACCATTTAATAAGATTTCAGTTACGTAACAATCCATTAGTAATTCTATTTTTGGTGTCATAATATTAACTACAATATTAATTATTATTTTCATTATTAATAAATTATTATGTTGTAGTATTTGTTGATTTTTTTACAACACTCACGCTGTTAACCCAGGCATGGAGATAAAGTGCATTCTGGTTTGTGTTTCAATACGTTAGTGTTTTTACATTAGTGTAACGATCGTAATGTTGATGTTATAACAGTGTTAATGTCATACTGATGTCGGTGTTATCTTGATGTTATTATCAAGCTCGTCTATACATTGTTTGTATTATTGCTGAGTGATGGCTATGGCTCATAATGGAGTTGTTGTTACTGCAAAGCTGTTAATGATGTTGGTTAATTAGCAGTTGTTACAATACAACATACTTATCTGATTAGATATACATGTGTATATCTGCTTTGTCCAGCTATGATATATGATACATGATATATGATACATGATATATGATACGTGCGTTTGTGCTCCTAACAATATTCAGTTTGGCTTTTAACATTTTGTTGTTAATTCATTTTTTGTTTAAATTTTGAGTCTTTTTGGTTGAAACTTCAATTTTCAAGTTAATTTTCTTATTTGGATTAAAATTTTCTTTGATATTTTTTCATATTGTTAGATATTTCGAAATGTGTCATTAGCAAGTACACATGCACATATACGTAAAACATTTACATTATGAAGTATTCTCTCCCTCCCTTTCTACTCCTCTCTCTCTCTCTCTTTTTTTTTCTCTCTCTTTCTCTCTCTCATCTAATGATTAAATTTTGTAATACTTGACATGCAGGCACATAGGTAGGGTATGGCATATCACAGCAGAAATTGAAATAATTTCATGCTTGTTTCTTAGATTAAGTTTTTTAATTTTGTTTCGATAGATCTGGAGACTTTGTTTTAATATTGCAACCATTATTATTATTATTATTATTATTATTATTATTATTATTATTATTATTATTATTATTATTATTATTAATTGAAGTAATAATAATAATCTTAACTTATTAACACACTTCAACACAAATTTATAAGATGGAATGAGTTTTAATGAACTTCATTGAATGAGCAGGAGTGCAACGACAATAAGACAGGACCAACAACTGCATCAACTTCTTCAACAACAGCAGCAACAATCGTGTAGAGATGGGAGACCAGCAGCAACGACTCCGTCAGCAGTAGCAGCAGCAGTAGCAGCCTCATTGGATGATCACTCGCCCCACATGTTGACCAGTATGGTCTTGCCGAGTATCGTTCAAGAGCTGAAGAGTGAGGAGGATGAGGAAGATTTGATGCCGAGTTTCATGAGGGTGGCCATCAGTGGCGAGGAAACTAGTGGGGTCAGTTTGTTTGCTGGTGTGCGTGTATCTGTCTGTGTGCGTGTGTGTCTGTCTGTGTGTGTGTGTGTGTGCGTGCGTGTGCGTGTGTTCATCTGGGGGAGGCTGATGTGGTAGTGATGTGGTGCAACTTTGACGATGTTATTAAATATAAATATTACTTTTACGACAGGTTCCATTTGCAGACCTGCATGAAGCATCAGATGCCCTCATAAAGGCTCTCCTTATAAGGTTTGCATGCACACACACATAAACATACATGCACACGTATAAGTGTGCACACATGAACATACACTCCTACTAACATCCACACACACACACGCACATTCACACATACACACACGTACAGAGCGAAATATATGAAGGCATCACACCAGTCCTTCCCGACGATAACGAAACGTTTTTTGAGAAGAGTTTGTGACGAGGAGCATGATTACCTGGCCGAAGATGACAGCATCGTTCACCAGAAGAAGGAAAGTATCTTAGGTCGGAGTCTGTTTGTTGGTTTAGCTGGTTGGATGGTTGGCTGGACGGTTTTGGATTATCACGTCACTTTCATTTTGACTTTATCACCGTCATCATCATTATTATCTCAATCATCTCTCATGGTTCCATTAACGCATAAGATGGACAAACTTAAAGCCACACACTAATGATGATCATCGTTGACGACGACAGACCACCCGATTGATGCACCTTCTGGCCACGGAGCTCCCTTTGAATGCACCATGGAACCGCCAGCCAACTACCATCTCCAAGTTAGGAATGGAGTTTTCCAGGTTTCGAAGAAGAAGAGGAAGAAGGTTGAGGTGCCAGGAGTTGATGATGGTGAGAGCAGTCGCTTGGTTGGTGATGGGGAGGAGGAGGAGGAGGGGGAGGATGAAAATGATGGGTCGTTGTTTGCACCACCATTCACACTGGCCGAATTCATTGCTGATCAGAATTTGCTGTTTGCCCTAGTCGCAGATGGTCCCATGTGAGTTTTGATCGGTGATGATGTTCGTGATGTTCGCGACGATGATGGTGCTTCGGTGGTGATCAGCATGGCGATGACAACAATTTTCACACACACACACACACACACACACACACACACACACACACACACACACACGCACGCACAGTAAATCTTTCTGTTATCGTCGTTTGAACTACCTGACCTCCAAGCACGACCTCCATGTCCTGCTGAATGAGATCAGGGAGGCAGCCACCCAGAAGCAAGTATCACATCGAGACTTCTACAATGTCAGGAAGGTTGGTTCTTCGTCGGTTTTTTTTTTGTTTGATGTGTGTACATGTATCTGTTAGGCTAGATTATTTTCAATAGTTCGATCATCTGAAATGAAATTGCACTGCTTGCGTCTGATAAGGTGGACACGCACGTACACGCATCGTCATGCATGAGTCAGAAGCATCTGCTGCGTTTCATTAAGAAGAAGATGAAGAACGAGATGGGAGTGGCCGTCTGCAAGTTGGCCGATGGAACATCTATGACCTTGCAACAGGCTCGTTTTGATTGGTTGGCTCGTTTTGATTGGTTGGTTGGCTCGTTGTTTGAATTGAAGACTGGTTGGTTAGCTGATTGTTACTGCCTCCTGTGGCTTTTATAAAAATTTGAAACTTCTCAGGTCTTCAAAAGTCTCAACCTGACAGCATTTGATCTGAGTGTGGATATGCTGGACGTTCATTGTGTTAGTTTTCATTTCGTTGCTCTTAAAATCATCTTTATTTCCACGTTTTTTTTATTTTCTATTCCATCCCGTCATCATGACGTCATCACAACACAACCGTGTGAACATCGTCGTTGCTGCGTCACCCGCGACCAGGATCGAAACACATTCCATCGTTTTGACAAGTTCAACGCCAAGTACAATCCAGTCGGCGAGAGCAGGCTGAGAGAGATCTTCATAAAAACTGACAACTACATGGAGGGCAGGTACTTTGCCGAAATATTGAAGGTGCGTTCGCTTCTCGCTGGTTGGTCACTATTGATTGATTCACGTCACATGACTGCTTTCTTTGATGACGTAATAAACAGGAAGTGATGTCAGACCTGGAGGAGAGCAAGTATCAGAACGCCGAGTACCGTCTGTCTATCTATGGAAGGTCGAGAGATGAGTGGGACAAGTTGGCTGCCTGGGCGGTCAAGTACAACATGTACTCGGACAATGTTCGTTGGCTGGTGCAAGTACCAAGGCTGTTGTAAGTACTCACGTTGATGGCGCTGTTGTTGGTGATGGCGATGGTGACGTTTGTGGTGGATGAAAAGTGCCTAACCCAACAAACCACCATGCAGTGACGTGTACAAAGTCAATGGACAAGTGGAGAACTTTGAAGAGTTGATCACAAACATATTCGAACCACTGTTTGAAGTTACTAACGATCCAAGCTCTCATCCTGATCTACATCGGTTCCTTCAATATGTATGTTCGTTCGTCTGTCTGTCTGTCTGTCTATGTGTCTGATTTTTTCGTTTGTACTTTGTGGAAATTGAAACTAGCGATTACTAACGAAAGGTGACAGGGATTGACTCGGTAGACGACGAATCGAAACCGGAGCGCGTGATGTTCGATAAGGACGCAGCACTGCCCAACGAATGGACCAAGCACGATAACCCCTCCTACGCTTACTACCTGTACTACATGTTCGCCAATCTCGTCGTCCTTAATAATTTCAGGAAGTTAGTGTGTCTCATGGGGGATAACTTAATATTTAACAAAAAAAAGAACAACATGAAAAACAAACCACGACACGAACAACCAGCCAACCCCAATCAACCACAACCAACAATTAACAGAGCAAGAGGCTTTTCAACATTCGTATTGAGGCCACACTGTGGCGAGGCTGGACCCGTCCACCATCTGGTCACTGGCTTCATGGTCGGCCAGAACATTTCACATGGACTCCTCTTAAGAAAGGTGATGATTGGATGATGACGATGAGGACGATGGGGATGAATGAAAAGAAGGTAACGCTTCTTAAAAACTATCCACATCAAACTTTTAAAACGTACTAACGAACCTACCAACCAACCAACAGGCTCCAGTTTTGCAGTACTTGTACTACCTCTCTCAGATAGGGATTGCCATGTCACCCCTTAGTAACAACTCCCTCTTCTTGAACTACCAGCGGAACCCACTCATCGAATTCCTCGGTCGGGGTCTCCTCGTCTCCCTCTCAACTGACGACCCTCTTCAGTTTCATTTCACCAAGGTTCCTCTCTTTCTTTCTTGCTGATGTTCTTTCTATCTGCAATGCTGTCCTTATTTATAATCTCGCAAATGTTGTTGTTAACATTTTGCATCGTTAGGAGCCGCTGATAGAGGAATACAGCATCGCCGCGCAGGTCTGGAAGCTGAGCAGTGTGGAGATGTGCGAACTTGCGAGGAACAGTGTCATCATGAGCGGATTCCCTCACGAGGTCCGTGGCTTCCTTTCCAACTCCTTTCTTCTCCATTCTTATCTTCTCCTATCTTTCTGATTTATTATGCTACTCTGCTGAAAAAAATTTGCAATTTTCAGATAAAAAAGTTCTGGCTGGGACCGAACTACACGAAGGAAGGAGTGGCCGGCAACGACATGTCGCGAACGAACGTGCCTGACATCAGGGTGGCATTCAGACACGAGACCTTCCTTGAGGAACTCTCAACTCTCTTTCATACTCTCAAAGATTTGGATTGCATGGATGCTGCTTTCAATTAGCTGATTGGAGTGATTTCACTTGGTTGATGGAGTGCTTGATTGATTAACTGTTTGGTTGTTTAAGTTGGTCGGTTGGTTGGTTGGTTAATTGACCGGTTGATTCACTGAGTGATTGGTTGTTTGTTTGTTAATTGATTGATTGATTGTTGAAGATTGTTGATGTTATTGGTTAATCGAAATATCGAAATATCTTAGAATTGATTTTTTTATTCTTTCGTAGCAGATTTTTATGACGGCTTTTGTGTTCTTGTTTTGAGAATATATCAGTTCTTTTTCTTTTACTAATGTATCATTTCCTTTAATTTTTAGAAGCACATTAGCATTATTTCTGCTGTGATTACATTCTGTTTAAACGCTGAAACATTCGCCTGCAGTTGATTCTTCTTAGAAGTGTTCGTGGAAACGCTTGCTTCATGCCACCATTTGATCAAAATTCCATTTTATTAATCGCCTGTTGCACATTTCATTGACTGATTGGCAATCCACCGTGATCAAACGCCTGCAACTCTTTTACATTTCCTTCTTAATCTTAATTCCTGTTCACTTTTTCGTTCATTAATTTTTATCATAACATTATTGATCTTGTAATTATAAATTGTTGTAGGTTCGAATTATGTTGTATCTAAATTATAATCAATCTTATATGTACAATCAAAATCGGTTCAGTCTGACAGTCAGTTACAAGCAATTATAACTGTCAATGCATAATTATTAATCATTGCCGTAAGCATTTTGCCGATGTGTATTAGAAAGAAGACCCAGTGTAATTAATGGCGCTTGTTCACTCATCTTTGAACGCTCTGATTGCGAGTTGAATGAATGATTTTTATTGAATGGCGCTGTTTACGACTTAATTGAATAATAATAGTGTTAGCAACGGTTATTTTCATGATTTTTTTAGTTTAATTAGAAATTTGTTGAATATTTCTAGCAATTTGTAGATCAAATTGTAGGGGCCAATTTTCGTGAGTATTGGCTATGCACCTTTGTTGACTTTCTAAAATATTTTGTCACGTTCTACATGCATATTTTGTTCATGCTTTAGCTGTAATGTTGATTGTACTGTACAACATATATTTTGTTTGGCCTCTTATAGAGTTCAGCATGTTCAAACAATTCACTTTTTTTCAGCGTTTAATATTGATCAACTAATTGAATAATAAGGGTTTGTCTGCACTTTATCCATACGTGTGTGTGTATATATATATATATATATATATATATATATATATATATATATATATATTTATATATTTACAATATATATACAAATTTGTTAATGTTGGAAGAAGACCATATTTTATACAGTATAAAATATATTGTATAAAATTTGTTTATGTATATGACTTGATTTTGAAATGTTCAATATTATAAATGTTATTTATCGTTAAGATGTTAATTATTCCATAACTTCAGTTGACGTTTGTGATAAAATTGTTTATAAAATAGGGTCAGGAATCAAATTTTCTTGCAGATTTTGAAGTGTTACATCTATTTCCCCTTTTAAAATGTTTTTATTAATAGCTTAATTTTAAAAATGTTTCTTGATTATTTTCTGTCCGCACATGTACCTCCTTACATGTGGTAAGTGCGGTCATGTACTATAATATATAGAATAAGGTAACTTGGAAAAAATATTTATTTAAATTAACTTATACACTTTTTAACCGTTTACAGAAATTCACTTTTAGCCGGTTAAATTTAAATTGCGATCGATGAATGGTCGTCAATTGAGCTGTCCGGGCGATGCGTCTTTCCTATATTTTTGCACTAATTTTCCTAATTTTGTGTTTAATCTTGTTAAAAAAAAAATGAAAAATTTATATTTTTTATATTATTGGTTTAACTTCAAGCTTAGGCGACTATTTTTTCAGTTGGAGAAAAAATATTATTACAGGTTAATTTTTAATTAAATTATTATTAACATTAAAACTTAATTAAAAATAAGGAAATTCACAAAAACACCCACCTAATTTTATTTTAATTATTTTTTGCTTTGTTTTAAAGTTTCATCAATCTTTCAATCAGTCAGTAGTTAGTTAAACAAACAGAATAGAATAGATAGATGGATGAATTTGATTTATTTATTTAATTTAATTAGCAGGTGCTCAACTTCTAATTGTAATAATAATTAGATTAAATTAAAATTGTTATTAATGTTAAACATTAACATTAAAGTTTAGTTACTACTAAATGATTGAGAGTTTGATATAATTATTTATGCACATCTGATATCATGTTTTGTAATTTTTAATAACTTCATTAAAAAATTAAAGATTAAATGATTTGTTTACAGCAGAATGAGAAAGGTTTTATATGTCTTCATGCTTGTCATATTGATGCTGCTGTTTACACTGTTTCACTTTCATCAACAGAAGTCTTCATTGATAAGTAACTATGCTTATATTATTTAATATTAATTAATAATAATAGTAATATTAATAATACAATTATATGGATTTATTTTATATAGTTATGTAGAGTTATTGATTATATATACTATATATTATATAGTTAAATAGTTTCATGTTCTGCTGTGTTGTATTTCATTGTGTTATGTATTGTATTGTGCTGTTGCTGTATTGTATTGTATTAAGTCTTGGGCATGACATAAAACTGCATCCATGCTGCCTTGCGTGCTTTTGAGCAAAAGGCTAGGCCCACCGCTTATAACTGATGGTTGTCGTCAGGATGGGTGTCCAGATGTAAAAATTTTCCCCCCAATTATTCTATGTCATTACAAAGAAAAACAATGGCCCCTAGTCTCCAGAAGGCCTTAAGTGGTCAAAGGGTGTTAAGAATCCCTGGGAGGTATGCAATAGTGGAGGGATGTTGCAGAAAAATTCAGAATGGCCCCTCTATGGTACTTAGACTTGGAATGCTCAATGTTGGATCACTGACTGGCCGCAGCATTTAAATTGAAGAAATGCTTGAGCGTAGAAGTAAAACCTTTTTTTAATGCTGCAACTACAGTTTGTGGGAAACAGTGCCATAACTTCTCTTGCAGATGTTGAAGTACCTGGCACACGTCCCAAAGGCCGTCCAAAGAAGTCCTGGTCGCAAACAATCGAGCAAGACATGAAAGCTCTAAATTTAAAGGAAATGGATACAACTAATTGTCTGATTTGGCACACAAAAACTGATGGCAAAGAAAACAACGTCCTACCTCGGGGGAGCTGGGTCTCCGGACGCTAAACGAACATTGATTATTTGAAATAATATTTTTTTGATTCACCCGCTGATTTTATTAAAACTTTTGTTCTGCCAATCATAATTGTTTTTAAAAGACTTATATTTTCATTTCAGTGGATGATTTTGTTGAAGATTATGTCATCACAAGCTCATTCAATGGAACAGATGCAGAATATATATCCAAATATTTAGCGGTGAAGTTTGTTCCAGTAGATGAAAAAATTGTGAACATGAAACTGATCAACAGAGGTTCTAGAGACATACTGTGCACTAAGTGGAAGATTTATTTCTCACTAATTGTTGTTAGTGAATGCTGTGATTCTCAGGTATGTTTTGAAAGAGTTAATGGGTATCTATTTAAACTATTCCCTTTTGCCTGTGAAGCTGGCAGTGTCATTTTAAAAAAACATTCTTCAAGAGTTATGGTATACTGTGACATTTTATTGCCAAGCATCTATTTTGTTTTCCCAAATTGGTTTGTTGTTGGACCTGATCTTAAATCTTTTGTTTTGCATAGCAGCAAATTCAGGGATCCATCAAAAATTGTTTCCACCATTCCTTCGTACTCCTCACGTAGCAGGTTCATCAGAAACTCCCATCTGAACTGCAACAGAAGCAGAGAGAAAAATTTCTATAAGAATTTCGTTCTACCCTCCCCAATGATGTCGGATGATGTCTCAAAATTGAAAGTCACTCGTTCTCTAGTTATTGATGACACTTGGATCATCTGCATTGGGTCTCCAGTCTTAAATGAAGCTGCTTTCCTTGCTAGTGAATACTTTTATACTTTTCAAGTTCTTCATTATCTGAGCATTTGTTGGCAATTGTTTACGTTGGTCTTCAGGGTATTTGAAGATAAAAACGAGAGACATCGATCAATGTAGCAGCACCTCAGAACTCACCCCGAGAACCATCGTTTTGAAAGCAAATGAAGAACTAGATGGTCTTGGTTTTGATGCAGAGGATCCGAGATTAGGTGATGGTTACGTCATCACACTGACCACCAGAGATGTAATTGTATTGAAAGCCAAATCTGCTGCAGGAATATTTTACGGGGTGCAGTCACTGATTAGTATGCTGTCTGATGGGGCTGTCATTTTCTATGATGGCCCAGTTAGGAAGGTTGTGGATGTTCCTAGATACAAGTTAGAAAAGTGTATCTAACAAATTTCGCCTCGTTTTAATTTTGTTCGTACCTTAGTTTCTTTGTTCTTTGAATGTATTATCAAATAAATTTTAAGATATCGAAATTAAGGTACCGTGGTTTGCTGCTGGACGTAGGCAGGCACTTTCTCGATAAATCTTACATCAAAAGGACGATTACAGTGATGTCACAGTACAAATTAAATGTTCTCCACTTACACCTGACGGATGACGAGGGTTGGAGACTGCAGATTCCTTCCATTCCTGAACTCACTGAGGTTTTTCTGCTCATGTTTATATTCATAATGAAATCTTTCTTATTATAAGTCTCAATTATATCTCAAAATTAACTTTTGTTTTAGTTTTGTACATTTCCGTTTTTATGCGTTCTCTTGTAAATATTAAAATACCAATAGATAAAAGCAGAAGCAAATATTTCGTTGAACTACTGTTTAAAATATGATATTCCGATAAAACACTAACTTTATAAAGTGAATGTTTCATTTCAAACGATTTGCTACAATGAATATATATAAATGTTTTTTGTTTACAAAACCAGGTAGGCAGCCATCCAAGGTTGGGGCCTGAATCGGATAGGGTGGACTTTCTGTACCCCTACCTAGGCAGCATTCCGAAATATTATAACGACTCACAATCTGCCACTGGGCCACTCAATGCTCTTCTCAATTATGTTTATGGTGATAAAAATATAAGTTATAATGACGATGATGTTGATGGCAATAATTTTAATCGTCGACGCTTAAACACGAAAGGGCAATACTACACTTGCAAAGACTACAGAGATATATTACGCCATGCCGTTCGACATCACGTAACTATTTTACCGGAAATTGATTTTCCAGGTCATTCCCATGCCGCCATCGTTAGCATGCGAGCTCGGCGACGTAGGCAGCGGCTGAACAGAAAGTTGAATGTTTATGAGCGCGCCAGGCAATTCATCGTTAATTCTTCCATTCTAGCTCATCGCAGAGATGCTCTGCTGCAAAAATTGACCGATGCCCAGAAAAATTTTGGTTTGGAATCTGACGATGAGGTGTTTGAGGGAAATTCGGTTAATTGTGGGAAGCACACTGTAATCAACGTGTGCCTACCTAGTAGCATGCAGTTTATAAGTACTGTCGTTCAAACTGTCGTCAACTTACACAAAGTAATTCATTTCATTGTGCACTCTAAGTAAAATATGCAACTGTTCAGTGTTTTATACGCGTGTGTGTGCTGGAGGTTTAAAAATAATTAACAAAATTCGTTCTGGTTTGTGGTGCAGTTCTCAAGTTTGTCAAATTTATCATTTTACTTCTAAAAGATCAAAAGTATGAAACGCACATACAGTCCAGTCGCTGAACAACCATTAATAAAAATTTTTTTTAGGACATCCAGCCATTAAAGATGATTCATTTGGGCGGTGATGAGGTGCCCTCTGGTGCATTCGACTTGAAAAGTTGTAAGAATATTATAAAAAACGATTCGAATGAGGCTTTAAGTGCAAAACAAGTGAACGCAAGAGCTCTCGAATACATCGTTGACGTAGGTCAGTATGCGTTGAGTTGTTTGAACTTTGAATAAAAGTTTTTATTCGATGTCCAGATATCAAATTTGAATGTATGTTTAAACTTTGTTTAGTTCTTTCGTTTTTATTAATTGATTGCGCAGCATGACATCAACTGCATAAGTTCATTCCCGTGTATGATCCTGTCTCATGAAACAAAACCAGGTAGGAAGTACGGGCTGGAGGTGATAATGTGGGGCTCGGACATGATGAACTTGATGGAGAGGAAGCTGCAACCAGATGCCGTCAACTTCTGGCTCTACAGTAACGACCAGACCAATGGCCAGTTGGAATCCTCTCTACAAAACCTCGCCAGGCTGCAACATTCAACGGTAGGAAAGTCTCGGGGCAAATTCGTTTTGCACCTGTCTTATTATAGTTATCTGCTATAAATTTATGCTGAGAAATTATTTAATGTTTGTGTTTTAAGTAAAGGCAGAAAACATGCAAGTTATAAACAGTGTTGGAGTCGTGTTTTTAGTATTTTTCTTTTATTAGTGTGGCATTCAAGTACAATTATAAAGCAAACTTTTTTTTCTGCGTTTCGGAACGCGTAGTCAGAAATTTTTACCTGGAGTCGGAAAATTTTCAATCAAAAAGTCGGAGTCCGACTCAGACATCCTGGTTTTAAAGTTGTGACATTCTTGAAGCACAATGGTGCTAGTTGTTTGGGCAGTTATTTTATAAAATGCTATTCATTTCAAAAAATAATTGTAATGTTTTTTTATTTTACAAATTTTCGTTCATTTGGTGTTTGATTCGCACATTAAGGTATCTTTTAGCGCCATCGGTTATCTTAGCAACACGAATTAATTTTTTGAAGATAATTCTATCTGACGCAAGCAGTTTTTACGTGGATCACCCGTACGAGCCATCGAACGAGGAGAGGGGACTGACGTGGAGCACCGACTTCATCGACGACTTCAGCATACTTTCCTACAAGGAACCTCAATTCTTGCAAGATCCTACAATGAAGAGAAAAATTTTAGGTCACCCTAAGTTCATTGATACGTGGTTGCGTTGGAGAGTTTTTAAAAGTTTCACGATTATTAAAGTATTTTATATCCTAACATTACAGTTAAAAGTGTTAACATGAATATTATGTTAGGAGTTCAGTTGAGTTTGTGGGGCGAGTTGATTCTTTCAGAGGTTGAATCGGACTACATGCTGTACCCTCGCATGCTCGCATTCGCTCAGTACGCCTGGAGTCAGGCTGAATTTATGTTGGAAAAGGGGAAAAGATGTCGTATGTGGAACATTTACGCCGACATGTTGGTGAGGAAGGAGCTGAAGAGGTTGGATGATCTGAAAGTGGAGTATCGAGTGCCTCTTCCCGGTGCCAGGTTCCTTCTCCTCGCTTGCTTCTTCTCGTCACGCATATCGACTACATGTATTGTTATCTCTCCTGTTGATCATACTCGGCTCTATATTAATATCGTTGTCATTGATTTTCTTTATTTATTTAATGTTATAATTATTGTTTAATGTCCCGAATGCACCAGGGTGATTAAGAATGACTTGAGCTGGAACGTTGTGTATCCAGGTCTGTCAGTTGAAGCAAGTCTCGACGAGGGAGCTACGTGGGTGGCTGCACGGCGTGTCAAGGCAAAAAACATTAAGGACCATTTACTACTATCTACGTTGTTCGTTCTGTTTAATTTTTGAGTTCTTCTCAATTATTTATTCTTAAAAATCACATTTTGTTGGTTAGTTATTTTAATTAATAAACGAAATTAAAAGTATTTATTTGTTTGAAATGATTTATTTGCTTGTAATTTGAAATGAATTTCAAGGTCTGCCGATGGACTTCGTAGGAGTCGAGTCGTCTCCGTGAATGAGGTGTGAATTTCATTCCCGGCCTATTGAGGGCAGTGATTTAATTTCAATAATTTTATTTGTTATTCTATTTTTTTCACGACGCTTTTTGAAAAAGCCTTCGCTTGTGTCTGTGTGTTTTTTGTTTTGTTCCTCTCCATGTTTTTAATTTCTTATTTTCTCGGTGACACTGCATATGCAACGGGCATGGTTTGATGATATTAGAAGCTCGTAAATCATTGGTACAATTATATTAATAATAAAAGAATGAAGTGCAGTTTGTGTTACATGTGCGTGTTTTGTTTTTCATTGCCTGTACGTTATAAGAATGCAAAAGTAAGAGATGGCACTCATTCCCTTACGAGGCATCATGTGTTGGAACATGCCTTCAACGAAATGAAACTTGACGACAGAACGTTATTATTTATGCATGGATGTTCATGCTGGCGGTTGCAAGTCGAGCTAAAACAAAGTTACATATGAAATTTAATAAAGTTCAAAGAACGTTCATCAATTGAAAACAAAAGCCTCTCCCTACAACATATTCTAATGTTAATCTCCGTGAGTATTTATTTCAAGTTGTGCTGCTGGCAAAATCTTGAAAGCGTCTCCGTAACGTTACCAGCAGATCAAATTGACGTCTGTGAGACGCACTTGAAAGAACATTGGATGGCAGGCAGCAGTGTAAACCTGATGCTACGCAAATATTCTGTTCAGTTGGTCCATTGATTTTTCGACTGTCTATACTTCATCTTTTGTATCAAATGTGCGTGAACAGAAGTTAAATGACAAAAATAATACAGCAGAGCCAACAAGTTGATGAAAAAAATGAAGATTTACAATCAATAAAATGAAAAAGTGAATGCAAAAACGAAATAATAATTTAAAGAAGATGATGTTTATTTACAGACATGCACGTCAATGTACTTCTCACAGGTACTGCAGTGCACAGAGCAACACCAGACGAAATGGCATCGACATCGCTCGGTAACTTTTTCCCTGAAGGTATTGTAGCCGCGACCGCAGCACATCAAATCGCATCCCTCGCTGCCTGGTTCGCCTCTCTTGCACTGTCTTCCGTGAGTTCCTGGCCAGCTCGTATTAGTCAGTGCCTCACAAAAATCTGGCGATGGTTCCGTGTAGATGAGTGTGTCTCTGGTTGGTCTGTTTGAACTGGTGTCAGTTGCCGGTTGTTGTTGAGTGTTGTCGTCGTTATCGATGTTTTCATAATCAGAATCTTCAAGTCCGCCCTGTTGCCGTCGTTTTTTGGTTTTGGGCTTTCGAGTGGGTTTGTTATTTCTTTGCTTGTTGTACTGTTGTTGTTGGTACCTGCGCCCTGATAGTTTTTGTTGATGAGTAGGCTGTTTGGACTGTTTAACGTTATGTTTACGATGTTGTTGAGGTTTTAATTGGGGTCGTTGTTTTTGTTGTTGACGTTGCTGTAAGAATTTTTTCGATTTGGGATTTCTTTTTTCGTTTTTTTTTGAATTTTGTTGGAAGTTATCGTCGTATTTGTTGGCATAATTATTTTGACCCGGCTTCTCTTTCTCTATTATTCCTTCGCCATCCATTTCTGCAAGGACCAGACTGGTTCCCGCGTTGTTAAATTTGACAAGGTGAGGCAAGTTTTCGTACTTGAACTTCAACTCTCTGGCAATTTCGTTGAAATCCGCCATCTGGTGCCAACACGTTTTCATGCTGCAGGAACCCGAAGCTCCGTGGCATCTGCAACTTGCTTTGCTCAGACCAACAACTGTCTGTCGATTGTGTGTATGTGTGTGTGTATCATTGTGTGTGTGTGTGTATCATTGTGTGTGTGGGTGTGTGTGTGTGTGTGTGTGTGTGTGTGTGTGTATCATTGTGTGTGTATGTGTGTGTGCACGTACCTTTAAGTGATTTATAAAAAATGATTGATTATGAAATATTAATCTATTAATCAATCTTAGATGAGAACCAAAGAGAGGCAGAGTAGAGATGATGCATCCACCCATGCAACTGATGTTTTGGTGAAGCATAATAATTCTCAAACGCTCATCAGTTCATAAATTATGTAATAAACATATAATATAAATAAAACATATAATATAAATAATAATAACATAGAGCTGATAATAATAATAATAATAAGTAAATGCGTTATTTATTGGTTGAAAGAGATTTTTAAAGAGCCGAGGTGTATTCCAATTAACATTTTTGTTTTATGCATCGCCATTACCTGTGAAAATATCAGTCGTATAATTAAAGAAGATTATGTATGCGTTTGTATGTTTGTGTCTGTCTGTCTGTGTGTTGTCTGTGTGTGTATGTGTTCAGTCAAACTTATATATAATTATGTTATTCATTTTTATCCGAACGAGCGAGCCAAATATATTTCCAAGCAGTAGCATTTTTGAAGTTACCGCGCAAACACATAGACACGAACACGAGCAAAGACACACACACACACACACACGCACACAAACAAACATGAAGACAAAAACAGAGCAAACTGAGGCCTATCACTACCACGATGATAAACGCGTCGATAAGTTGGTATGATGGTGCAAAGAAAACATTTGTTGCACCAGCGCCACCCTCCTCATACTCATCGTCTTCCTCCATCTTTCTCTCCTCCCTCTACAACATTTTTTCTCCTCCATCACCTTCTTTCACTTCTTCCTCCTTCTCTAGACGATTTTCAACTTTTAATTATGATGAATGATCTGTTTCGCTTTGAAACTTTAAAAGGCTCCCACTGATACGGCAAGGCGAGCATTCGAATGTTTCTGAATGTGATGGTGCTGCAAATAAAAGTATGCGCTTGTACATCAATCCTGGGGTTGTTTATTTAAGTTTAACTATCGATTCATTGTTCATCCGTTCGTCTGTTTGTTGTTTGTTAGTTGAGTAAACAGTTAATTTTTCTATAAATTTGAAGAATTGTTCATAGAACTACTCGACATATATGTATATAGAACATTGTTATAACTTAGACCTGAACGACGATGGTGCTGATGCGGGATGTAGTAGTGGTAGTAGTGGTTATCATCGTCGTCATCATCATCATCGTCGTCATCATCGTCGTCGTCGTCATCATCATATTCTCAAATTTAACAACAATCCTTCTTAATTACAGTAAAAGTAAACATCGGCATACCAGTCGACAGAAACAATCACAGGAATAATAATAATAATAAGTAGGAACGACATTCACGCCAACAACAACAAAATAATAATAACGTACAACAACAACAGTTAACACTTGCTCGCAAATGTCTATGCAGATGAATGGAGGGATGGAAGAATGAACGAATGGATGGATGGGTGGATGGATGGATGAATGAATGAATGGTACACCACCACCCCGCGACAGATTGGTACCAAGTAGGACAAACCAACTCAGAGGAAAAATATCAGGAAGAGATTATTGAGAACAAAAATGAAAAACTGCTGGTTGAGGAAAATGGGAAGAGGGCCTATTCTTAAATGTATAAAAAAATTTATCATCATTCACGTAGATAGCAACTTTTGCTGCTCGCTTAAATAAAATGTTTGCCCGAAAGATGCTTGATGAACGGATGGAAAAAAAATGAGACGAAGATGAATTTTCTTTTCACATCAGTAAGAAAGTTTAAAGTAACCAGCGTTTAAGATGAATTAATTTTGAAAGTTTTTCAATAAAATCAACAACAACACGTCAAACAACATACAACAATTCGCACATACGTTGATGGCAGAAATGGAATGAAGGAAGGTGTACGTGCAAACAAGGACAACAACAACAAAAGAAGAAGAAGATGAACAACAACAAAAGAAGAAGAAGATGAACAACAACACCAACAAAAGAAGAAGAAGATGAACAACAACAGCAACAACAAAGCAATAGCGGTATCTTCATTCAATAAGTCATCTGCATGGATGTTTGATGCTTCCTGTCACAACATTCACGCCTTCCTAAACAAATTCTCATACACATGCGTGTGTACGGGTACATGTGTGTGTACGTGTGTGTGTGCGTGTGTGTACGTGTGTATGGGTGTGTCACTGCAGTTTGTTTGTTTTTAGTTGTTTGTATGCGTCTACAATCTCTATTATCTCATGGTCTACAAAAAAAACATCATCATCCCCATCATCATCACCGTCACCATCCCTATCATCATCACCATCGTCACTAACGATCTCACCTCCATTAGAAGTGGTGTCAATTAATATGATGTCACCCCGAGCAGAGTATTAATGCTGCCTTCTATACTTACAAACGCACACACACGCAAGCAAATTGTTGGACAATTTATTTATCTTATTTATTTCCTTTAAAAACTTAACTTAATGAGTTATGGACTTATAAATTTGATAAAGTGCAAACACGATGATACAACTACGTCATCGAAACACAAACAACAGCAGCCACAGCAACAACCACAGCAGCCACAACAACAACCACAGCAGCCACAACAACAACCACAGCAACTACCACAGCAGCAACAACACCAAAAACAACAAAAACTGACCCTTCTGCCAACCATATTGTTATGAAGGTTGGAAAGCATGATCTTCAATTCGTGTGAATACCTCGGATAGTTCATCTCCCTCTCTCTCGAATCGACGAAACCGACACCGAACTTGAAGCCATACTCAGTATTATCGCCACATCCTCCCCACACCCATTCTGCCGGAAGATGGCGTGGTTTCTCTCTCCTGCTGCACCCACACTGGGGCAGCTGGCCATCTTTGCAGGCGCGCGCCACGTTGAACGTCATCGAGGCAGAGAAGAAAGCTTTTAAAATGCTCGCCTCTTTGCAGCCGTCTGCTTGGTTTGTTTGTTCGTTCGTTCTTTTGTTTGTTTGTTCATTTATTTGTTCGTTTGTTTGTCGTCTGTTTATGTAATTAGGTGACAATGAAAATAGGCAACAGTAGAACAGAAACTGCAATCAAAACTGAAAACAACAAACACACACGTGAAAATGAACAAAGGAAAAAACATGAAGGCAGACCCGGCAAGTAGTCGGGCAGTGTCATGAATGAGCTCTTGTTGCCTCGCGAGAGCAGCGAACAATTCCACCTCATCCCGCCAAACTGTTGGAAGCATTCGTCTGCCGCCATTTCTGTCGCTCTGAAGATGGTGCTCACATGGTCCGGATGGAGCTGACAAAAACGTTCCTGGTCCGAACTGAAACCATTCTCTTCACTGCAGCTGACAACTTTTGGCTGTTTGTGGCTGTCGTAGATGAAGTCGCCACGAATGTGTGGCTGTTGCTGCTGTTGGTGATGATGGGGATTTGTGTGATGTGTGGGTGGGTGAGATGGTGAGAATTGTGAAAGTTGATGTTGTTGATGTTGGGGGAGCTGTAGGTGATGCTGCCTTTGATGTCGTTGGTGATGCTGTCGATACGTTTGCTGGCCGTTGTTGTTGTTCACATGTTGTTGTTGTTGTTGTTGCTTGACTTTTTGTTGCTGTCGCCTTGAAAGGTTTCTCGTTGAACGGTAGATGTTGTAGCTGGTCGGGAGAAGAAGTGCAGGCTTATTATTTCGCTATTGCTAATTCAAAAACAGACTCACACTCAAACGCCCAAATACGCCAAAATATGAACTTACACACGCACGCACGCGCACACAGACACGCCAATGCATCCATACACACACACACACACACACCAATGCAAACATCCACACACACAAACATCCACACACACACAAACACACACACACACCAATGCAAACATACATACACTCGCACAAACATTCACACACACACACACACACACAGGCACACACGCACGTTCATAAAATATCTATCTGCTCGCACACGAGATGAGTTCGAGATTGGGGGTATTGAAAGCACTAAAAAACCATAATGATGATAATTACAATGATCATGGTGATAGTTCTAATAACAACAGTAATAATAATGATGATAATAATGGTGATGATGATGATGAGGACGATGATGATCATGTAAATAAAATATGTGCCGCTAAATTTTTTAATAATGTTATTCGTCTCTTTTAAATAGTGTTGCACATACATATATGATGTACGTGTGCGTGTGTGTGCGCGTGTGTGTGTGAGTGTGTGTGTGTGTGCGCGTGTGTGTTTTTATTGAATGCGTAGATAAAGAGAGATAAAGATGGGCTTTTCTCTAAGTGCAAAAAGTTTAAATTTGGAATAAAATCGGATCTATATTGGAGAACTAATAAAAATAACAATATAACAACGATAGTTATAATAATTGTGATACTGCTACTAATTATAATAAATAATAATAATAAAAAATAATAATAATAAATAATTGTTCTGCTCTGAGCCTGGTCACCTTCTAACTTCCTTTCGTTCGCCTTCTCAATCTGGGAAGCAGATCATGCGATGAAATAAAATGATGGCGACGAAGACAATAAAAATAAAAACAATAAAACTAATAAAGATGGTGATGGTGACGATGACGATGATGATGACGCTTCTTCTAAAAGCGCTTCTTTGAAAATATAAAATAAAAATGCCGACAGTAAATTACAGGCTGTATGCATAAACCCCGGTCCAAGAGATGGTGATGATGATGAGGAGGAAGAGGTGAGGGTTTTATGACTCTCTTCATTATCATCTTCTCTCTTTTTATCTCTCTCTCTCCCTCTTTCTCTCTTTCCTTTTCATTCATTCTTCACTCTTGCAAACTCCTCGTCATATCTTTCTTTACCTGCTGGTTATATATTTTTCTTTTCTCTTTCTCTCTCTCTCTCTCTCTCTCTCTCTCTCTCTCTTCCTTTCTCTCTCTTTCTCTTTCTCTCTTTAAAAAATTCGAAAGGCGAGGCAATAGAAAACATCACAGATAAATTTATCTTAAAACTTGTAGTATAAGGATGATAACAATAATAATAACAATAATAATAATAAAAATAATAATAATAATCGATTCACAACTAACTCATGAGATCTAGATAATGAGGACGATGGTGGCAATGATGATTGACATGAAATCAACAATTCAATGACCAAAATGAAAATAATGTTTAAAATTATTTTTGTTGATGATGTTGTTGTTGTTGTTGCTGATGTTGTTGTTGTTGTTAATGATGTTGTTGTTGCTGATGATGACGTTCTCCACCTCTGCCTATACAACATCATTTTTATGTCTTCGTTGTTGATGCTTCTAACGATTTTTGTTGCTCCTTTTGTTGGTGTGTTGGTGTCGATGCAAACAACATGACATCAGCGTAACATTAATACAAAACTGACCAAAGACATCAACATTACATCAACATAATTAACAGGATATAACTCTCATAGTGTAGTGGCAGTTGAACCTGAAGTACTACTATTATTCAATCAGTCAGAACATCAAACTCGGTTATCTCTAGCAAAAACTATTACAAATATACCATCGCTTTAGCACTCGCCAAATTAGAAATAAAAGACTGTTGAACGTATAAATTGAGTCGGATTGAAAGAGAATATCCATTCATCCTAAAAAATCAATCCTATTAATTGAGAAATAACCGTACATGCTCTGTTCAGTTTTGTTTCAAAGCGAAATTACCTCAGCCACCCGGTTATATAGGAGCTGGCGGTTTTATAGAACATACACGAGCCCGCATAAACCCATCATCTATATCATCAGCAGCAGCCTTTATGTGCTTGGTACTATTCACATCAAATATATCAATATTATATGCACACCTTCTGTAAGCGGTTTTGTAACTTTACTATAAATAAATAAATATATTTATATAATAATTTGCTTATTTGTTTAATTATTTAATAATACTACTGCCATTTGTTCGTTCGTTCGCTTGTTTGTTCATTCACGCACCTACCTATCTAGCTCCACAATTCACTCACTTGTTTATGCATTCGTTTAAGTTTCTAATTATTCATAAGGCACACGCACACACATACACAAGGCTATGCACACATCCTCATCAACTGCAAACACACGCACGCACACACACACAAACACATATAAAAACAAGCAGAAACACACACCAAGCATGTTTCCTCGCCATCAAAGACAGTTGAATCTCATTTGAGCGAGTGCCGTACCAGGTAGTAATATAGTATGCTCCTTCATTCATTCAGTATTTGATTTACTCAGTCCTTCCTTCATTCATTCATTTATTCATCCATTCGCCCCTTCGTTCGTTCCATCATTTATTAATTAAATTAATAAATGCCAACCTGCCAAAATATGTATCCCATTTAAAAAAAAACAGAAACAATTAGATACATGCATAGACACACACACACACACACACACACACACACACACACAAATAATCTAGGACATGATCGAAAAGTTACAATATAAAATATCTTAATTAAAATAACATTCAGATATATTGAAAGAACGAAAAGTGTACAAAAAAATGAAGAAACGAACGAATGACTGCTAACAATGAAATTGTTCATTTAAATAAGTTGAAAGATCATACATAATGTCTACATGAAACAACTGTAAAACACATTAAGACTAGCAAGAACCATTGAAATTAATTCAACAACATTAACAAAATGAATAGTAATTAGTACGGTGAGAATAAGACATGTAGGTATGTAGTTACTCCTTCTTTGATTTGTCGCATGTTCGGTGACATTTACATTTTGACTAAAAAATGAATGCAAAAACACAAACAATTTTTATTATTTGTTTGATTATATAAGTACACACACACACGCACGCACGCACACACACACACAAACACTCACTCACGCACACCGTGCAAAGATATGTACAAATGAAACACATATAAGATCAAAAAATAGCGAATATAAGCTGAATGAACCATGGCTGCACAAACAACCAAACTTGACTAATGTTAAACACGGAGTCACGAATTTATAATTAGTTATAATATTATTTTATAACAATATTTGTTCAACGGCTCGTTTTTATGAGAACAAAAATACATTGACCATTGAGGAAATGTTTCTGCTAGGAATTGTTAATGAGATAAACCACCATCATTTTCTTCTTTTTCTCTCTCTCTTCTTCTTCCTCTTCTTTTTCTAGCATCATTATCATCATCTCATCTTCATAAAATATCATAACCAACATCTTAAACTAAAAACATCTCATAAAAGACATCTCGAGATAATAAGAAACATGTCTTCAGACAAATGTGAAAATTTGATAAAAACTACGAAGATAAATGATAATTATGGTCATAGTAAATGATAATTATGATCGAAATAAACATTGCAAATATGCGAAAAGTAATTAAAATCATTTCAACCAAGAAACAAATATAAATATTTCTCATGAACCTTTCTATGAAATTTAAAAATAATAATAAGTAGTAATAATTAATAGTATAATAATAATGATTACTATAATTATAATTATTATAGTTAGTTATAAATAATAATTTAGGTATTAGACTCTCGGATGTTGTACTCGAGGCGTGGGTTGCTGCTCAGATTGTTGTCCACACAACCACTTGGTAGGTTGTTGTTGTTGTTGCTGCTGCTGCTGTATTGTCTGTAGAACTCGTTACTGTTGTACTGTTGTTGTTGTTGTTGATGTTGTTGTTGATGTTTTGTAATGTTGTTGTTGTTGCTGTTGTTGATGTTGTTAGCATTACAATTTTTACATATCATCCAAATAAAAACGAGAAAAGCATCAACAACAACAACAACGACAGCAAACAAGAGCAAAGACATCAACAAAAACAACAACTACGACATCAACAACATGTAATATAACCCCATACAGCGGGTGGTGGTGTGGTTCTCCTGTTATATGACGCTATGTTCGACTGCTGCAGCTGCTGTTGCTGCAGCGGCACCGACGGCGGCGGCGGCCTACTTTTCGGGTATCTGGGCAAAGGTCAAGGTCATTTATAGCTAGGTCAATGTCACATACAAAAAAGGTTAGTGTTATTTTCATAATTTAAAGTTGTTATCAGAACTATATGTTAAAGTGAACAGTTCTTATGTGTGTTTTGTTCAGGCCGACAATTAAATTAATGTATGTGTGTGATGTTTGTTTGTTTGTATGTATGTGTGTGTTTGCATGTGTGTGTGTGTGTGTGTGTGTGTGTGTGTGTGTGTGTGTGTGGTGTGTAGGCGGCGTACCTACCCATAATAAGAAGGTGACGATGACGATGGCTGCTGCTGATGTGGTGACGAAATGAAAAGTCCAGTCTCTTCCTCATCTTGATCAACGTAGGATTTCCTGGATGGATGGATGGATGGATTGGTGAATGAATGAACAAATGCATAAATAGAAAGGTAGACAGACAGACAGACCGACACACAGACAGAGAGACAGATAAATGAATGGATAGACAGAATGATATATAAGAAACTTACAAAGAATCTTCGTCAGCGCTGTGGGAATAAAATATAAAAATAATTAAATTGCCATCATCGTAGTCGTCATCATAACGATCATCATCATCATCATCATCATCATCATCATCATCATTATCATCATCATCATCATCATCATCATCATCATCATCATAACAACCTCAGTCCAATGACTCTCCAAGTTTTTGATGAGATGATGACGAGGAGGGAGAAGAGAAGTCCAACTGTTAATGATGACAGCAACATCAACAGCACACCCATCCTGATGGTTTGGTTGTTTGTATCCGTGCGTATGTATAAATATTTCTATGCATGTGTGTGTCGATCCATCCTTCATCCAGGCAGCCAGCCAGACAGTCAGACAGACAGACAGACGCCAAACTTACATAGTTTTATGGCAGAGACCTTCTAGTAGCTCGACATAATCCTTGTGAACGTTCGTGCAGTCGACCAATGACGTCAGCGTGATGATGATGTCTTGCAGCTTGGTCAGGTCGGCTTGCATCGACTTGAAGAGTAACTCACTAGGCTGGGTGATCATCATCATCATCAACAACAACATCAACATCAACAACAACATCATCATCAACAACAACATCATCATCAACAACAACATCATCATCAACATCACCGTCGTACATCATTGGCAGGATTGACAGCCATATTGGAATCTCGAGCTCTGAACTTAGCTTGGAACAATGAATAATTTGTCTGCACCATCATATCGTTGGCAGCCATGAAGATCTGTTAACGATGATGATGATGACGATGTCGAGGACTATACAAATAACAACAACAAACAACACACAGCAACAACGAACAACAACCTTATTGAATGGATTGATGGCATTGTAGTGATCACATCTCATGTAGTAAGCCAGCGTGGCTGATGATGATGATGAAGACGATGAAGATGATGATTAATACGATGAATAAAATGATACTGGCAATGTTGTCCATTAAATTAATAATAATAGCAACCATAACCAATAATTAAGACAAAAACAAATTATATAATCAAACTATTTGAACTAGTGAAATTTAATTTAATAAAAATAATCATCATCATCATCATCACTGTCATCATCATCATCACTGTCATCATCATCATCACTCAATCACTTTGTTCAACATGGTCGGCTGTGTAATGTTCCACAACAACGTCAGGATTGATGCATACGTCACTGATGCCCTGGTGGTGGTGATGACGATATTAATAAAAAATACTGCTGATGAGAACGATGATGGCTGAGATGGATGCAACTGTTAAAAATTAAATGAATGAATGAATGAAGATTGTTTTGTGTGTCCAAAATGAAATAGCAGAAAGAAGAGAGAGAGAGAGAGAGATGTTGAACGAAAAAAGGAGAGGAAGCAAGCACCCACCACACTGACGCCAAGATGGATGCCAGTGAATAAACCACTGAGGACCAGGCTAAATATGCCAAATGCACAAAACCTTTGTAGTAATAATTATTATTAATTATTATTAATAATTAATAATTATTAATAATTATTAACAATTATAATAATTACTATTACTATGTCAACCTACAAACAGCCAGGAAACGCTACCACTAAATTAAGTTCATGAATCTGATCAATGTAAAAAATGTAATCATTCAAAACTCTTTAGAAAATTGAAATGAATTAGCCTACAATAGCAGGGTGCACTTGGAGTTGCTGCCCACACCAGCCAATAGAATGAAACATAAGATGAGGAACCAACCAAACACGGCCAAGGAAGCCATTCGTCTTGAAGGAGTAGGTGGAACCATGAATTTGCATCAATTTGAACATTCAATTATATGAAAACAACGCAAATAACATTTATAATATCAACCTTATGTCCACCAGCCAACCAACCAGCCAACCAACCAACCAACCAACCAACCAACCAAACAACCAGCCAGCCAGCCAGCCAGCCAGCCAACCAACCAACCTATAAAACTCATAACTCTTAACAACGTGAATCTCCTTCGCGAACTCCACCTTTGGAAACTTTTGAAGAATGTTCTCAGTGAACTTGTTCTTGAATGATTTGGCTGTCTCCCTGGCCTGTTTCACTGAGTTTTCAAACTCATTCCTCGTCATCATGTCGCTACTTTTGGGACCAGTCTTGAAATATTCTTCCAAACTTTGGCTCAACATGGTGTTCACTGTCTCCGTTAGTGAATTTATCTGATTGGTTGGTTGGTTTGATGTTTGGCTCATTGATTGGTCAGCTTGTTGTGTGGCAGCATGATTGGGTGAATGAATTGTTAAATGTTTAGGACCTTAATTTTGATCTTCTTAACAGTGAGCATGATTCCTTTCACAGCAGCAACTGCATGTTCCACACCTTTGTTCGTATCCTCGTTTCCGTAAATCCCAATTGCTATTACAGAGCTTGTACCATTGGTAAGTGCGAACGTTTATTCAATTAGTTAGACAATTAATTTAATAAATTAATCAATCAATCAATTAAACAACCAGTCAACCAACCAACCAACCAGGAGATGAGAGTAAAGATAGCAAGTGTCCACTTCAAGCAGCCCAACTTCTTCCTCCTACCCGGGTCCTGCTGACAACATCTGTAGCAGAAGTACATGAGGAAGAGGAACAAAGTGAGTAAGAGCCAGAGGATTGGAATGGCTATCCAGAACATTATCGACTGCAGATGTTTATTTATGATTTCAATTCAATTTAATTATCACCAAATTATCCATTATTTAACCATTATTATCCATTATTGGCAGCCCCAGTCAACAGAATGCAAAATTATGATAGATGAATAATTGCAAGAATGATGACTACCTCTTTATATTTATGGCTACTGTAATCAAAATCTGATTTGACAGCTTCAAACGAAAGATCGACACGTGGGATCGCATGCATGACTCGCACAAACCATGGGATAAAGTACTCCTTTATCGATATGGGGTACATCGATTCATCCTGGTCCCCATACTCACCCTCTATATCCATATTCTCCTCGGCCATTGTTGTCAGTGTAGTTAACAAAACACAAACAAATAATGTTTTGAATTATATATAATCTGTTACTATTGTTTTTACTTGGGTGGTATGTTATATTTTATTATCAATTCAACATGGACGTGGGCTATTTTCTATTTATTAGTAGAACTGGTGGTTGTTGAGGTTGTTATTAATTATGCTAGGCTTGCTTTGTTAAGTTTTCAGTGCTCAAATAATGTAAAATAATAACTGATATTTAATTATCAGAGCTCTACTAGTATTTACAATACTAAAGAAAACCAGGCAGATGGCAGTGTAACATTAACATAGAGCTGCATAGCACCATAAAGTTAAGATAAATAAAAATAAACAAAATTTAAATTGATTCATTTAGAATTAAGATTAAAAATTAACTTAAGAAAACAACTATACTATAGTTACTATAGTAGTAGTAAGTTTAAGTAGTATAAAATAAAAACTGTAATGAACTAAAATTCCTCATTTGCAAATGCATCAGTTTCCTTATTTAATTTGAAAATAACAAATAAATGTTAATTATTCAATCAAGAAAAATTCTTTAAGCACTAAACTAAATTCACCGTTTCGCTTAAAGTCTCACAAACAGAAGCTAGGCAGTGATAAATTAAAATTTAATAAACATTTTAAGTGATGTTGCAAATAAAGCAAAAAACTTTGTGTATGGAAAGCCGTTACATTTTGTTAAACTATCTATGTGAATCATGTACTGAGATTAGAATTATAACCGGTTTATAAATGTGGAAACATTTATTTAAGAGCTACGATAGATACACGTAATAACCAAAACCCACAAAATAAATTGACATTGTATTTAATAAACAATCCCCAGCAGTCATCATAAATTTGATTTCAATGCATTGTTTTCTAATGTTTTGATTGTTCACTGCCCATACCCAAACATTTCATGCTTTTGAAAATTCCCCTCATTCTCATTTTCGTTCTGAAATTATTTTAAATGTTCAATTCAAATTTTGATGAATTTGACAAAAATGTAACAAAAAAGTCTTCTAACTTTTGTTGAGAGTGGTGAAGATGCTCTTATCGTACTTGGAGGAATGGAGCTGCAATGGCACAAATTTATCGATAATTATTATTTAGCGAGGATTATTCAGAATTTTGTAACAATATAAATTTGTTCCCTACATTTCAGTAAACAGCAAGCAGTATGTACGTACCTTGCAGATAAATTTAACATTTTCAAACCAGCTGATGTAATCGGCTTCTATGGAGAAGACGTGGACAAACGTGCCATTGTTCTTGCTCACTATGAAACCAGCCAGCCTGATAGTTGATCAGTGCATAGATCATTTGAAGAGATAGATCGGTAGTTTTGTTAATTATATAACTAAGCATTGCTAATGGTTAATAAGTTAGTAAGAAATAACATTACTGTTTGTGCTTGATTGAAATGCCGGCAAATGAAATGCTTTCGTTTGGACAGGAAAGTCGAACAGACTGCAAAGTTCAAAATATCATCATTCAATTTGACAACTAAGTGGTACATTATTATTATATACAGGTTGTACCAAGACAAATAGCAAAATATTAGCAGCACCTTGCTGGTTATAAAGTACACCCCGTCAAATGTCAGCTGAATTTTTCCTCTCAACCAGTTCTTCTCATCTACGTAGGTCCTCACCATGTCAATGGCGTGCTCTAAAATTTTCGTTCCTGTTTGAAAGTATGTATGGTGTGGTGTGGTAGGTTGGTATGTTGGAGGTTAGTTATATTGTGTGTGCCTGCAAAACTGCATTGGTTAAGGTTTCAATTTGACTAACCCGTTGGCTTTGTGACTTCCATCATACCGAGGTAGATGCAGTAAGTTTCGTTGTCTGATGCGTGCAACGCTGGTGGGGGGGCGCATCCTTGGATTATAATTTAAAAGTTATTATATGAAAATAAAGTAATATGAAGTTACAGTTAGAAATAATTAATGGAGAGATGATTTGAAAAAAAAGAATGAAATAATTCACCGTCACTTCTGTTGCTTCGTATGGTGTTGTTCTCATTTCTCGTTAGATTCCCACTGAAAGGTATTTTCCTTACCGGACTTGATTCTTTGCTGTTTTTCAGAGTTTTTGTTTTTTCCGCTACCCTGCTGCACACCGCTTGAAATGTTTCGGCGATCTTTCGAGCAAAGTCTTCGCATAGAAACACTCGACAGAGCGTATTGCTCACTGGCAAATCTCGCGAAATTATCGCGAATTCTCGACTTTATGTATGAAATATTTAACAATATTTCATATTTCAGAAAGATTGAAACTTCCTGCATGGTAAACTAATGCATTAGTACTTACCTGTTCGTTCCTCTGCCAACGCCCCACAGCCTGATGAGTCGGAGTGGGATGTCCATCCTCTCCTTCTTGTTCCTACTTTCAAACAGTTTCAGGCCGCTCTCCTTCAACTCCAACGTTACGTTCATGCCCTGTTTCGCGGAAGGCATTTAATTTTATTCACTAGTAAATGAAAAAAGTAATTTGATTCAATAATTTAGGATTTCTTTGACAATATTAATAAAATAATAGTGGATACAAATGAATGACGAACTCTGTGTTTCGAAAGAGTGACGCTACCGACAGAGCTGACGTCATTTTCACTTTCTTCCTTTTTATTCCCGTTCACCGAATTCACTTGCTTCTTATTTTTCAACTTCAGCAAAGTTTTGGTAGCATCACCAGACGTTTGACCGGCCACTAGTTGAATACATTCGCTGATGTATTCAGATTTGTTGGCCTGCATTTTTGGAATGTCGACGACCATCGAGCCCAGGAAAACAGCTGAAAAATTGTAGCTTTCAATCTCGTTGTTGATTTTGTTGGTGCTGTTGAGGTTGTTGATGTTGCAGTAGGATGATGATGATGATGAGAAGGAGGAGGAGGGGGGTATCGTGGATGCTAACGTCGAAGATGACGACGACGATGACGACGATGATGAATATTTGAGCGGTTGTTTTTTCTTCTCCGTTTTTTCGTCTACGGTCTGCCAAAATATTGGACAGTTACATTGCAATACAGAGGCAATCAAAATGAGGAGTTCATTTTATATTCGGTAAGTGATAAAAATTACAAATTTCGTATTTGATTTTTGAGGTGTTACACCATTCAATACTTAAAGAAGAAAAATGGTTTGAAAGTTACTTCAATTGGGTCATCAATATCCGGTAGTGTTTCGTAGTGACCAGGTGAACTCGGTACCGGCAAATAATGAGAATTTCCGACATTATTCGACTGCGGTTCATCTTTATTTTTAGCAATACCGATAGATGAATAATGAACATCTTGGCTGTTGTTAGTTACGGTTCTAGCCACCGAATTATTCGTACTGACATCGTTAGCCGACGTTACGGTTTTTGACTCGTTAGCATCATCCTTCTCTGACTTGTGGACGACGGCGTATATACACTCAGCTTCATTTTTTATACCAGGAGATGTCACGACAATTGGACGAAACTGCATGTTCGAGTTGGACTCCTTGTTACTGCCTAATTTTTTTCCCGATCCATCTTCGCCGCTGGCCTCCTGGCTCTTCAGACTTGACTGTATTTTAACACTGGATTTCCTATCAAGAAGCAGTTTGGATGAAAATATTGTTGTAAATATTATAATGATTAATTTATTACGAACAATAGTTGTTTAAACTCTAAAAACTTGAAACATCAGTTTTTTCATTATTTTAAGAATAAAAAAACTAAATTATAAATAAAAATACTGTAAACCTGTTATTTTTCTCTCCATTTTGAGTTATTAAATCCAATGGATTGCTATAGATATCGCTTTCCATCTTACGCGTGTGTGTGTTATAATTTCTTTATTAATTACTTAACTAATATTTCGGTAATGACGAAGAGTTAATTAGTTAGTCAATTTATCTTTATAAAACAAATTTAATGTAAAATTGTTCACGAAAAACTTTGAAAATGAGCGAAGTTTCCTGAAAAGTGGTTTCGAAAAAATTTACACTGCTACGAATAATAGTAGTTATTAATTTCATTTGTATTCTAGTCGGTGATGGTTTTGTGATATTAAGACAAACAGCAATAACAATAACAATAATAAATATTGTTTCTGCTGTCATGACTTATAATTACTTTTATTATTATTATTTTTATTGTTGACGTTTTTCTATTGATAGCTTTTGAAAGAAGGGACTGACGATCTCAGCTAACCAGCATGAATGGAATGAGTGAGTGATTGACTAAATGGATGAACGAATGAATGAATGAGTATGCGAACGGATGAATGAAAGAATGTATGAATAAATAAATAAAAATTTCGAAGCTTTGAACGTTTAATTGTGGAATTCGTAATGAATAAATGAATGACTGAATTAATTAATTGGTGTTTTGCTAATTAATTAACTAGTTGATATAACTTACGAGTTGATATAAGTTTGCATGTAAAAATAAAAATTTTAAAGACCAGTGTTCTTTGGAGTATTACTACTTCATTAAAGAACAAAAAATTTGTAGTTAACAAAAACAAATTCGACCCTGACGAGACTCGAACTCGCAATCTTCTGATCCGAAGTCAGACGCCTTATCCATTAGGCCACAGGGCCAGTTGATAAATGTTTAATATTATTATATCATAAGCTAGATGTGCAAAATTTAACATTTAAAATTCAAAATTTAATGTTGAAAGTTTAAAATATGATTAAAATTGTGAATAATTTATAAGAAAATTTTACTATTTTCATAAAAAATATTGTAACTGCCTGTATAGTGCTATATAATTTTTTATAACAATTTTTCACTTTTCATTTTTAAAATAGATTTGGGGATTTCCACAGGAAATTGAAATGTTGTACAGGTAAATCGAAAAAAATGAGCAAAAAATTAGTGAATTAGTGAATATGGCGGCTTTCACACCGTTAAAAACCTTTACTGAAAATGAAATGATTGAAATTGCAACACATTGTGATCCCTACTCAAGGTATTGTGAACTGGCAGAAGCTCTAGGCTTCACCAGCCTGTACATAAGCGTTGGTTTTTTCATTGCTTGTTTCCGTATTTTACATTTTAGGCGTCTGTAAATTAGTTATGGCCGACAAATTATTCCTACCGTTATGAAATATGATTTTTTGATTTAATTCATATTTTTCTTATTTAGTAATAATGTCATTTAGCTAAGTAAAGTAAAGTAATCTAGAGTAAGTATATATATAAGGACATAGAGTTCACTAGATTATTATATTTGCATTTTAATTTGCTGTCCAGTAAATTTTTGAAATAGAATTAAAATTCTGAAATAGTCAAAATAAAAGATTTTTTCATTTTCAAATTCAAATTATCAAAAGAAATTTTTAAAAATTAATAAATTTAGTGGCTGAAATCGAGAAAACACAAATATGGCAGCTACACGTATGGATTCTTAGAAGACCTCATCATCAACCAAAGCAATAATATTTCAGTTGAGTCACTAATGAGGGCCGCTAAAACTGCAAAACTTGAGTTATTGTATGAATACCTGACATCCAGATATTCTGGTTGCTATCTTTTCATCATTTTATTCTTCAAAAGTTTACTATTCTTTTAAAGTAACTTATTTTAAAAATAAATTCCTTTTAAAAGATAAAATTTGAATTATATTTATGATTCATAATCTTTTTACACACACACACACACACACACACACACACATTTAGATATCATAAGGCGCCACCATTCATGGAAGGTAGACTTTTTTGTTTCTTACAATAACAAAGTTTTACATAAAACTAAATAGTTTGAGGTGTCAATTTTTTACCCTTTTTTGTCTCTCTTCCTCCCCCCCTCTCTCTCTCTCTCTCTCTTCTCTCTCTCTCTCTCTCTCTTTCTCTCTCTCTCTGGGGTTTATTTATGTGTATTTTTTTAACAATTTATGATTATTAAATGACTTATGACTTTTAGAAATTTTTTTTGTTAAAAAACATTGAAAATAGTGATAATAATAATTAAATCAAATTTTTTGGTCAATTTTTATGTTTATTTAATCCATTTAATATTTTATTTATTCTTTATTCTCCAGTTACAGCAAAGAGGTTTGTATGAAAGTAAACTTATTTATTGATTGAGATTTAAAATTTGAAAAAGTTTGTTTATAAAAATTTGTAGATTGTAACAATCCCATCTGCCCTGTTATGCTGCCCTGATACTGCCCTGTTATTGCATCACCACCAAACCAACACGAACACGCACACACGAACACGCACACACGAACACACACACACACACACACAGACATACTCACAGACACACACACAGACATACTCACACATTTTCCCCATTTAGATGCGAACTCGTGGGGCAATGTGTTAATAGCAGGTGTCAGAGGCACGAAAGCAGTCAAAGAGATCAAAAAGTTTTTGTCAGACAACAATTTTCGCGTTTTTCTTGAAGATGAGAGTGGCTGCTTGAACGCTGAGAAGAAAGATATTTGGCTGACTAACACTTTGTTAAAAGTTTGTTGTTTGTTTTATTTATTTGCTCACCTCATACATCAATTATTTGCCTAACAAACGAACATCAACAGGTCGATTACGTGCTGATCCTAATTTCGCCCGACCACCCTGCTAAAGTGACATCGACCTACAAGGAACCGCAGGACCCCAGACAGCCCAACTTCACGATACAGATCGTACAGAGGTACATGCACATCCGCTGTCACCAGCCAACCTCCGCCCACCATCACTCACTTCTACCTAACGAGAATATAAAAAAATTCATTCCGGTGTTGATTGAAGGCGCCTGTAGGGACGACATGCCCGGTTGGATGGCCGGGGGGAAGACCCCCATCTTCACGTGGTCCAGAGATTACGTCGACATCTTTGCGTGCCTCGTTGACATCAACCTGCTTATCAAACGAGTCTTTGGCGACGTTGAATGCCGCGAAAACGAAAACTGTTTACACAAATGTTCGCACAGTTGTTCATTCAGATGTTCGCAGAGATGTTCACACAGAAGCGGTTCATGCTACGGTAGTAATACTTTATTATCTTCTTCTTGTCAATGCAGCATTCACCCTAAGAAGTTAGCGAGCATTTTGACGTCCTGCGCCAACATTTGCTCGTCACGTTGCAGTGCTGGCCACCAGCGGCATCGGCAGCACAAAAGTTTTAGTCCGTTTGAAGTGATGTGGAGGGATGTTGTCGGGATTGATGGGGGCGAGAAAGAGAAGAAGGAGAAGAAGATGATGACTTCCTTCAAACTTTCTGGATTGTTCTGTCTCGGCAAGAAAAGTGCTGGTGCATGCTGGAATAAACATCAGCAGCCTGCTTTGATTCATCAGCAGCAGCAACCACAACAGCTGCCACAACCACATCATCTGCCAACGGGACAGCAATTCAATCAGCTTGAACAAGACTGATCAACATCTGATCGTCAAATATCAACTAATAAATCAAATATTAACCATTGAGTGAGTGAATGTGCCATTGTTTGAATGAATGAATGAATGAATGAATTAATTAATTAATTAACGAAGGAACGTAAACTAGATGAATTAAAAAATCAATTTAACTTGAAAAACGTATTTGACGATGATTGGGATTATTAAAGTATTTTTTACTAACCAACATTATTAACGATATCATTAATAATTGTAAAAAAAATATAATTAAACAAATAATAATAATAATTTTAATAACGAAATAATACTAATCGTGATCATGTGACTTCATCGATCAACCATCTCTACAGATTAACAGACTACCATATAATGTACGATTTAATTGCTTGTTTTATTAATTTCTCATCATCACCATCATGGTCGTCATCATCGCCATTATGTTTGGTAAAAATGTTTTACATGTATCTAGTTCACATTCCAACTGCTACTTACCTTTATTTGCATTTTTGCCATCCCAATTTTCCGGTTTTTTGCATTTACCGTCTCATAAATTTGTATTACAATTTGAAATTTTCAAGACATATTTTTTAATACTTTTACACTTACTGCTGCTACTTCTGCTACTACTACTGCTGCTGCTACTACTACTGTTGCTGCTGCTGCTGCTACTACTTCTATCCGTAGGTCGTTGTTAGTTTATTCATTTGTTAATTTTCTATGTTTTTGATCATGTGATACTTTTTTGGAATCTATGTTTTTTATTGCTCCCTTTTTTATTTCTTTTGCCATTTTGGGTTTTTTCAAAATTTTTTGGAGGCAACATTCAGCAATGAACTGTTCTGAATAAATTTTTACTATAAAATTTGATGGCTCGTGTCATTTGTTTGCTTAGAACCGCCCACCCACACACACACACGCATGCGCACACACACACGCACACGCACGCACAGATACACACACAACTCGTAATTAATTATCGTAAGATCTATTAGATCCATAAAACTCAGCGAAGTATCGGTAGAAAATAATTTCGATAGCTACATTGTTTCATTCATTTTTATGAAGTTCGGTCTGGTGCCACTAATGAATGAATGAATGAGTGAGTGAGTGAGTGAGTGAGTGAGTGAGTGAGTGAGTGAGTGAGTGTGTGAGTGAATGAATGAATAATTGATTGATTGGTTGATTAATTAAACGAATGAGTGATTGAATGAAACCACAAATGAACGAACGAATGGAGCATTAGCAATATTGAATGGCAGGCGGCGAGTGAAAGATAGATGGAATAATAAAAAAAGGAATAAACAGATGTAATAAGGAGTGATTGAATGAGCGGAATGAAAGAAGGGATTGACAGAATTGTGAAATGACAGATGAGTATATATGTATTAATAATAGGGGTTTCCAATATTTAATACTTGTGTGTCACGCATATTCCATCCAATACAATATGCTTCCTTTATATGTGTTTGTTTGTTTGTATGTTTGTTTGTATGCATGCATGTTTATTAGTATGTATGTATGTATGTTTGTTTGTATGCATGTATGTATGCATGTAAGTTGTATGTATATATATATAGATATGAGAAAACTAACAAATCAACTAAACAACCAAAGAAATAAAACAATGCAAAGCCAAAACGAAAAAACTTCGAAAACTAAAACATTTGCCTATGCGTGTGTATGTGTGTATGTATGTGTGTGTATATGTGTATGTATGTGTTTGTGTATGTATGTATTTGTGTGTTTGTACGTGTTTGTGTATGTGTTTGCATGTATGTATATAAGCAAGCGAATTTTTTATAGTTTTGTGCACGCAGAGAAAGAAGGAAGATGATTTATGCATCTGGGCATAAGAACGTGCCACGGAAGAACATTGTGTTTTTGCTGTTGTTGCTGTGTTGTTGCATACACGCGCATCCAAACATACATTCGTACATACATACGCACGCACACATGCATACATACGTACACACGTATTCAAACATACAAGCAGACAGACAATGCAAACAAAGAACCATAATTATTTGGAATTGTTTTTAAAAGGGTAATGAATAATTATGTAGCAGGGAGCAATTTTTCATGGTTGATGATGCTTATTATTACTAATGTTATTACTATTGTTCTTGTTGTTTTTATTATTATTATTGTTATTATTATTGTGTTGCATGTGATGGTGTGACGGGTGCCTTATTGAGGCAGCAGAAAGGAGTCTGGGACTACCTGCTGTTTCTTTCAGGGACCAGGTTCGAACGCAAGCAGATCCCAGCCTACCCTAAAGCCCCGATGAAAGTGAATTATTATAGTTGCTGGTACCTCTGATGAATATTCATGAGAGAATTACAAATGACGTTGGTGATGATGATGATGAAGAGAAAGATGGAGAGAGATGGCAAGAGAGAGAGAGAGAGAGAGAGAGAGAGAGAGAGAGAGAGAGAGAGAGAGAGAGAGAGAGAGAGAGATGTAGATAACAAAGTTAAACCCTTTAAAGCAAAACAACGACCGTACACTTCACGTTTTTACGTTTTGTATACTTCATCTGCGCCCGCTTGCTTACCTATACGATTGTATGTGTGCGTGTATGTCTGTGTGTGTGCATGTACGTAAAGATACAAACAAATAAAATTACCGACAGGTTACCATACAAAAAATTACATACATGTGTATTTGTTGATGTGTACATTCATGATTGAAATACGTCCGTGTATTCAAAATTTGTTTACAAATCCAGAAACACAAATATGTGTGTATTCTATTGTTTATCATTGCCTATATACATATAATGTTTATGTAATATATATATATACAATGTACATAAATGATATACATAAGTATATTATACATATATGACATACACATACATATGTATGTACATATTCAACACACACACACTCATATGTATAGATATATATACATACAAGATATATAAAGACGACCCCATATAATGATACAAACATATGTAGTTTAAGTTTTATAGTGTACGTACAACGTGAAACATACAAAAGTAGCTTTTATAGTCGAGTTTCATTGAGTTTGTTGTTAATACATGTTGTTGCGTAATAATATCTGTTTCTGTAGTTTATTAGTCAAGTTTTACAGCATTGTGTTAGTGTTGGTTGGCTGGAAACTATATGGAGAGGAAAGGCGAGGGTATGTTTGTATTAATTTGTATTTATTTCGAATCGTGTGTGTGTGTGTGTGTGTATGTGTGAGTATACATCTGTATGTATATATGTATGTGTGCGTGTGTGTATGTGGTTTGTGTGTGTATTGATATTTTAATGTTTAACGAACGGATTATAAATAACACCAAGTTGCTATTTCTTGAATCATTAGTATTGTTGGTACATCTCCCTCGCTTGTAGCTTCAGCAGCAGCGTCATCAGCGGCGCCACCATCGCTGTCGTCATCAGCACCATCAGCATCCTAATCATCATCATCATCATATAACTCAGATGCATGTATGGAATGTGCTTTGGAAGATGACATGAAATGTTTGTTCGTTCGTTTGATGCAACATTTTAGATCCTCCCCCGCATCATCATCATCATCGTCGTCATCATCTTCATCATCGTCGCCAGTAACAATTCGTTTTTTCGATAATTTATTTTTATGTTTAATCATTTCTTAGATTTTATTCATATTTAAGCATTTCTTCATTTATTCATTCATTCATCCTAAAAATTTATCCATTAATTCATCCATCTATCCATCCGTTCAACCATTTAGCAATCAATCAATCCATCCATTCATCCATTTTTGTGAACCGTAAATCCATCATTTCAGCATCCAATCGATCAATCAATTCCTCCATTTATCTATCTTTTCATCCATTATTCAATCCATCCATCCGTTTATTAATCAATCCTCTCAACCAATCCAATAAACCAACCAAACAATCCACCATCCGTCAACAACAACATTTTAAAAAAATTGATTACTCTCCATGACAATAATGCTTCGTAATAGAGATACACGCGTAAGATTACATACAAATACACGTACGCACACACAAACACAGACACACACACACACACACACAGATACACACACAAACATTCATACATACGTAACTGTCCGATCCACTATCGACACCTTATTTTATGGGTCGTGAATGTCCATGAATGAAAGGAGGAGTGCAGCGTGTGAAGTCGCTGGTGACGATGATGATTATGATGTTCGTGATGATGATGATGATGACGATGTTGTTACTGGTGACGATGATGATTATGATGTTCGTGATGATGATGATGATGATGACGATGTTGTTACTGGTGATGATGACGATGACAAAGAAGATGATGTTGACATACTTGAAGTAGAAATACTAAGGCACCCATCTGTCACAATGTACATACATACATACATACATACATATGCACTGCACACACATACACACATACATACGTACATACATACAAACATGCATACAAGCATACATGCATGCATACATACAAACATACATGCATACATAGCCATCAATCACAGCGTACACATACATACGCTATGCATCAACACGTATGTACGACTTATCTTCAGGGAAACACGCATATAGACTTTTTCCCCACGTACACACACACACACACACACACACACACACACACACACATGCATACACATACACACATACATACAAACAGACATTTTTAAGAGTGTTGTTTATTTATAAACTAGTTTCGAAGACATCATTGTAAAATATGATACGGGTTTATATTAGGCGTTATTTTAAATTTCTGTTCACTCGCATTTGAATCTTCCTCATCGTCATCGTCGTCATCACCATGTATCTATATTCACATGAAAAATTTGTTTCACATATAAACAAACATAACATACTAGTATAGAGGCCACATACACACACATACAAACAGACAAACATACATACATACGCAAATAAACATACAAAAGTTATGTCAAATGTGGTAATGTTATTACATTTTCATCACATTTGCACCGCTGGTCAACAATGGTCAGTAATACAATGAAACAGCATAATGTGAGCTATTTGCATGTGTTATGTGTGTTTCTTTGTATGTGTGTGTATCTGTGTGTGTGTGTTTGTGTATGTGTGTGTGTGTTTGTGTATGTGTGTGTGTGTTTGTGTATGTGTGTGTCTGTGTGTGTTTAAAAACTTCCAGATTCCACACTGCAGCGTGTGCCATTGTTATTAACTATCTCAGATTAAAGACTGACAATATATCTAGGGAATATTAGGAATAATAATAATAATAATAATAATAATAATAATAATAATTATAATAATTATAATAATTATAATAATTATAAATAATAATAATGACAGTGCATTAACAATCATTTTTTCGGCCAAAAACATGTTTTATGAATGAAACAGCAATTGCAAAATAGTAATAGTAATAACAACAATCATTATTATGAATAATAAAAATAATAACAAAATAGTAATAATAACAACAAAATAAAAATAATAATAAAATGAATAATGATCGTTCAATAGAGAAGATAATTATGCAAGCTCTCAGGATAATTATGAACACGAAATTAGGAGCTTGTTAACTGGCTCTAATCAGGTATATAGGTAGTTAACAGGCTACTCTAGCCTTTGAAGACATCAGCTTAATGTCATTTTTACCGATGTTTCCTTCTCCCCTGTTACTTAATGCCTTGCATGTAATGTAATTTGAAGCATGGATGTAAATAACATTATTACTATTATTATAGTTGTTGTTATAATTATTATCGGTAATAATAATAATGGTATTATTTATGCTGTATAAAATACAAAAGCATAGTTGAGAGTAACTTAGGATTGGTTCTCTAACAAAAGAGGCCACAATTTGCATGAAATAAATTATCACTAATGACTATTGCACGCATTAATAATGAAAATAATAATTTTAATAATAAATTTTGTATTATATTATTATTATTATTACTGTTGTTGTTGATGTTGATGTTGTTGTAGTAGTTGTGGTTGTTGTTGAGGTTGTTGTGGCTGTTGTTGTTTGATGGGTAGAAAAATTTTAATAGCGTTCATTATTTGCTATTTTTGTAATTTATTCGGCAAATTTTTAGAAGACCGTCGCAGTAGTACTAGTAGTAGTAGTAGTAGAAGTAGTAGTAGTTTTACTGCGACGTAGCGGTGGCGGCGGTGGTAGCAGTGGCGGCGGTGGTAGCGGTTGCGGCGGCGGTGGTGGTGGTAGTGGTGGCAATGGTAGCGATGGTGGCGGCGGTGGTGGCTACCTACTGGCCACCACTACCACCACAAGCACGCACAAATACACACACAGCTCGTAATTAACCACCACCGCTACCACCATCACCACTACTACTACTACTACCTACTACTACTAATGCTACATCATCATCATCGTCGTCGTCGTCATCGTCATCATCATCAGTATGTTTATAATTGTTCTCTTGTACTTACAGATACTTTTGTCTTTCGGAAAATTTTTATGCCGGCTGAAGATTGGAAGCATTAAGAAGTAATTACGGAGAGGTAGCAGTTGCCAACAAACTATTGTAATTACTCACCTGTCAATTTCTCGCAAGCTACTTCTACAACAGCAACGACAACAACAACAGCAACGACGCCGACGACAACACCACCACCACCAACAACAACAACAGCATGGAGGGTCCGAGAATAGCGCACCAGCCCATGAAACAGTCCAGACTTCTTACTCCAACTTCAAAATCATCAGCGCTATCACCTCTGCAACAACACAAACAACAACATCCGCAACTAAATTATGACAACCAGTCCTTACGTCATTGTCCGTCGCGTGACGTCATCCAACAAAACAACAACAGCGGGATTCCCCAGAGTTTCAGTTTCGTAGAAAACAATTGTAGCAATAGCAGCAACAGAATTAACAACGCATCGCTGCTGAAAGCGCAGTACAAACAATTCAACACATCAGCAGCAACTGCAACAACTGCAACAACAACAACTGCAACAACATCAACAAAACCATCAACAATCGCTTGCCTATCCCCAAATTTCTCTTCGCATCGCAACAAATCTCCGACTGCATCAACATCAACAACAACAACAACGTCATCATCACCACCAGCCCACCAATCAGCGTATTTGGCGGGAAACTACAATGGGGTGGCAAGCCCTCCACTCCCCATAGAACCTTACGTAACCGTCGAATATCATCATCAACATCGACCTCAACAGCAAAAAATACTGAGCAACAAAAATGTTTTAGCAACAGCAGCGGAAGAAGCAACTACAACGACGACAACAACTTCAACAAATGCAAATGGTGGTGGTGGTGGTTGTGGTGGTGGTTCTTCACAGGAGTTGGATGATGATGAGAAGCTGAAGGTTCTCGCTCAACATATCGATGTAAGGATTATTTTTGATGGATGGATGGATGAAATGGATGGATGGATGAATGGATGGATGGATGAATGAATGGATGGATGAATGGATGGTTGGATGATGAAATGAAATACAACGAAAAAAATCAATGAATCATCTAAGTATGCTTTCAATTTAAACAACGTTAAAAAAGGCTTAGTCGTAGTTGTTGTTGTTGTTTTTGTTGTTGTTGTTGTGATATTATTTTTCAAACGCTTTTGCAGTTGCTAGGATTTTTTTACAACACACTGTTTGTGTATT